GTGCACAGGGACACAGGGTGCTGGGGGAGGCACAGTGCTCCATGGGGTGCCAGGGGACAGCAGGGCATCAGAGGGTGCCCATGTGGGGCTGCGCCCCCAGCAGGAGCCCTAGGTCAGCCCTGTGGGCCCCAGCCCTGCTCCCCGTGCTGCAGCACCCGCTGCCACCTCGGAGCTCTAACTATAACCCAGTCCCTGGGAGCAGACACTGCAGCCGGGCTCTGCATCACCCTGGGGGTCCATCCTGTGCCACAGCCCCCCAGGGACCCCTCCCCGGGGCGATGGAGGTGCCGTTCAGCGCTCAGCACCCCGAGGTGCGGGCAGTGGCGAGGGGAGGGTGCGTTGTGCTCTGCACGTCCCCTGGAGCAGCTCTGGCCTGGTTCACCACATGCCCGTCACACCCCCATGCAATGTAGAGCAGGGACACGTGCAGGGGCCCAGGCAGTGACAGGGCCCCCCCGGGTGTTTGAGCCTCCCCTCCCTGCAGGCTCCAGCCAGCCCAAAATGCCCCCAGCCAGGGCTGAGCCAGTGCTTCTCCTAATGGAGCTGTTCCACTTGGTATAAATAAATATTCCTTGGTGCCACAGGAGTTGGGGGGGACCCACCTGCCTCTACCTCCTGGCCTGACCTGTTTTGGGGTGCCCTGCTCCTGTCCTGTGAGGTACTTTGCCAGAGCAACACATGGTAGGGCTGATGCTGGGAGTGGCATGAGTGCCCCGGGAAAGCCCAAGCCCAAATTTCTGCCCCCACGGGCACAAGGACATGTGTTTCCTGCAGGGCTGTGTGGGCAGGGCAGTGCTCACTCCACACTGAGCTGGTTCCCTGTGCAGGAGGAAGGGGAAGGGGATGGGGGGCTCTGTGTGGTCCCCCACAGCCACAGCCCGGGAGAGGTGCCCTTGGTGTGTTCCCAAGGGAGAAGAGTAAAGTTGGGACATGTGGACAGTTGCACAAGCCTGGCATGGCTGGGCAGGAGGACAGGGCACAGCAATATCACCAGTCCCTCAGCAGGGATGGGCAGGGGGGGACAGAGAGGGGTGACAGCACAGGGGGGTGATTTGGCCCAGGGTCTGTGCAGAGCCTTGGCAGGGCACCCAGAGCAGGCCAGCAGTGATAAATAGAGAGCAGCACATCCCAGGCTGCAACCATGGGTGTCAGCATCCCCCAAATTCTATCCTGGGGGGATCTTGAGGGTCTGATAACTCCCTGCCACCCACTACCAGCCCAAAGGTGGCTGAAAGCCTGGAGGCATCCCCATCCCTGTCCACTCAGGGTACAGGTGCCCCCAAGGAGTGTTGAGGGGCAAGGGTGCAGAGGAGCTGCACTGTGACCCAGGCACTGCCTGGCTGGGACAGGGCCCCCATCCGAGACCGGCAGAGGCAGAACCAGCCCCTGCTCAGCCCTGGGACACTCCTGCTCCACGGCAGCCACGGGCAGGTGCCACATGGGCACAGCTCCAGTGCTGCTCACCACAGGCTCCTCCACCTGTGTGCTGCAGGGACAGAGCTGTGTTTGCTCTCTTATCTGCCCGAAGGGCACGGCCTGAGCACCGGCTGGCACGGCCCAGAGGGGGCTGGGAGGTGCTGGGTGGGGCGGGCACTCCTCTCAGGGTGCCTGGGGACCACTGGATGTGCCTGTCCCCTCCTTGTGTCACCACTGGGCCCCAAAGGGATAATGCTCAGCCTGGACCACGCACTGAACTCAGCTGGACATGGCTGTGGTACAAATGCAGGTTGTATTTCCAGTCCATACTGGGGAATCCCAGGCTGTCTGCCATGGGAGTGGGTGGCACAGCCCATGGCACAGTCCTGCTCTGCCTGCAGAGCCCCTTTGGTTCCCAGCCCTGTGCCAGGGATGTGCCCCGGTGCAGGAAGGAGTCCCACTCCATCTGCCCTTCGCTGCTCCAGGCTGTGTCACCTGGTGCCCAGTGCGACACAGGCACTGCCCAGCTCCAGGGTTGCCTCCCTTGGCTGCTGCTCCAGCTCCTCTGCTGCCTCAACCGCTCTGGGCTCACTGGCAGCACCAGGTCAGGGTCACAGGCCTGCTCCCAGCTGGCACCACAGCACAACTGCAGCCCCAGGGGCAGAGCGGGAGAAGGGCTCCTCTCCCCCTGTGCAGCTCAGCCTGTGGGCACTGACACAGCGCTATTTATCGAGGATGAGGAAGAGAATCACCATGAGGACGATGGGGAGGAAGATGAGGAGCAGGCTGAGCATCTCTGCCGCCAGCAGCAGCGCCAGCAGCAGGAGGTAGCAGCAGCGGCAGCGGCGCTCCAGCCGCGCCAGCCCCTGGATGAGGCAGGGCGGGTACCGCACACAGGGCAGGCACCCGAACATGCGGCTGGTGTGGAAGCGCACCTGGAAGCGATGCTCCAGGGCACCGGCCAGCCCGGGCCGCCGGGGCGGCAGGGCGGGGGGCCGGGGGGTGGCCAGGGTGCCGGGGGAGCCGGGCTGGGCGTGCAGCAGGAGCAGCTCCTCCTGCAGCTTGCAGATCTCCCACTCCAGCATGGGCGTCTTCTGGCGGCAGATGGGGCAGCGCACGCGGCCGAAGTCGGAGCCGGCGGCCGTGTCCATGATGGTGCGCAGGCAGGCACGGCACAGCCCGTGGCTGCAGTTCAGCAGGGCCGGCCTGTGCCGCTGCTCGTCGTAGGGCTCCGTGCAGATGGGGCACTCGTCCTCGCCGCCAGCCAGCACGCGGCACGGCTCTGCCGCCGCCGCCACCACCGCATCGCTCGACGTCGCCTCTTCCTCTCCGAAGACGCTCAGGATGGAGCTGGAGGCGCTGTCCATGCTGGGAGACACCCCCCATGGCACTGGGCTCTCCCTGCGGGGCAGGATGGGGGTAGTGGTGGTGGCAGCAGGAGGGTCCTGCCCTGCAGGCAGGGAGGCACCGTGGGCAGGCGGCTCATCGCGCCCAGGCAGGAGCGGCTCTGTTGCATCCTCCGCTGACGGCGGGTTCCAGTGTCCCCAGGCAGCAGTAGACGCCTCTCCACAGAGCTGGGGTGGCTCCCCAGGGTCCCCTGACCCCACAGTCTCGCTCTCACCCCTCTGCCTGGCACAGCCTTCCCCACCAGCTGTCCGCACAGGCTGGGGCCCAGGCTCTGCCTCCTCGCCTGCTGCTGCCTCCATGAGAACGGCAGCTCCACGGCCGCCCCCCTCACCCACCACCCCCCGAGGCCCCTTGGGGCTGGGTGTGGGACGTGGGTGCTGCTCCAGGGCAGCAGGCAGTCTTCAGCACGGCTGCCAGAAGGGTTTGAAGGCAGCAGCATGTGCACAGAGTCCCATCATCCCTCTGGCACAGTTTGTGGCACCCTCCCAGACCAACGGGTCAGGAGCCTTCGAAGCAGGGTGTACCCCCATCATCCTCACCGACAGAACACCCCAAGAGGGGCATCACCACGAGCATCCAACAGCCTCTTCCTCCTCCTCTTCCTCCTCCCCAGCACCAACGCAGTACTGACCCGCCACGGTCCGGAGGGGAGCGCTGGGCGCTGCCTGCCGTGCCAGAAGGGGTGCAGGCGTGCCGGGCACCCGCACAGGCAGCTGCCTCCTGCTGTGGGCCAGGCAGGGCTGGGGCCGAGCCTGGCTCTAACCAGTCTGGTTTGTCAGCTTCTGGAAGCCGCTCAAATGCGGCAGCCCGGGGCAGGAAGCCATGCCCGCGCCAATCAGCTCCCGCCGCAGCCGGGGAGGAGCTGGGCCCACGGCCGCCTCCTCGCCTGGCCCAGCACCAGGGGAGACACCTCTGTGGCCAGCGCTGCCCACACCTCTGCCCCTGGGCACGGCAGCCTGGGCCCCTCCAGTACAGCCCCCCAGCACGGGCCCTGTGCTGCTCCAGTCCAGCTCCCAGGTCAGTCCCTGTGCTGGGCCATCTCTCCCTGCCATATCCCACAAGCAGTTTGCAGGGCTTGGAAGGAAGTATCCTGCCTGGATAGTGCCCCACATTAGGGGATGGTGTCACCAGCATGATGACTGCCATGCAGTAGCTCTGCACTGTCCCCCTGGCTGTCCCTGGGCCATGGGGACACTCAGCCCAGCCAGGGGCTGCAAGTGCAAGAGCTCCTCAGGGCAAAGCAGAGAGGTGGGGAGCCCCAAAACCACCCTGTTCCCCCTCACTGTGGTGCCACAGCTCGAGCAATGCCCCGGGGCTCCGCTCACCCCTGCAGGACCCCATGACTCGGAGCGTGGGAGGGTGGCTGGGTCACAGGTGTGGTGTGGCACCGCTGTCCCTTCCTGTCCCAGCCTGCTCCCAGGGACTGTCCCTGGCTGATTCATGCCCTGGGTCCTAATTGCTATTTACGTGATGGCACCCAGTTTGCTGAACTGAGGGAGGAAGGTGGTGGCACTGGTCCCACTGGGGCAGTGGCAGGGCCAGCAGGGTGCACAACCCCGAGGCTGTAGGGAAAGGGCTGGAAGCGGCTCCCAGGATGGGGTGGAGGACGGATGGAGCAGAGCAGGTGCTCAGGGAAGGCAATAACTCAGCAGGAGCTGGCACACAGAGCTCACACCTCAGCATTAAGCAGGCTCAGGATGATGAACTGGCAGCAGAGACAGAGGATCGAGGTTTCCTCCTGTGCCTGTCCCTGCTGGCCTCGGCCACTGGAGACAGGGGGAACAGGTCTGTCCAGGCAGCCTCCTCCTGCAGCAAACGCTGCTGACTAATGCCAGGGTGGAGAGACTCCCAACAGTTCACTTCCTCTGGGCTCTGCCTCTAACAGTGGCCACTGCCATTGCTGTGGCTCCAGCAATGCCCATCGGTGCTGCCCACCCTGCATGGAGACCCCCGAGGCTGGAGCACCTGGGACAGCAGATCAGAGACCAGAGACCCCTGCCCTCTGCTCCAGCAGGGAGTGGGCATGGGGAGCCAAACACATCCCGCCAGGAGACAGGTCCTCCCCTCCCACCTGGCCCTGTTACCACCAGGAAGGGCTGGTTGGGTAAATCCACCCCCTGGTCGGGCCCCTGCCCAGACTGGGGTAATCCCAGCCCAAGGAAGATGCCAGAGGCAGATCATTGTGCTGGCTCCTTTATTGAGGCAGTTTGTGGGGAAGGGGGGGGCAGGGAGCCAGGCTTAGGACCAGGTTTCAGACTGGAAGCGCTGGGACCGTTCCAGGGCTGTTAAATGCTCCTCTGCTTCCGAGGGTGACAGCCCACCCTCCAGCTCCAGCACCGACCGCAGGGCCTCGGCCACCGCCACTGGCATCTGCTTGGCATTCCTGGGGGAGAGAGCAGGGCCACAGTGGAGGGAGAAAGGAAAACCAGGGGCAGCAGCCCCAGTGCTCTGGGATCAGGAGGCAGCAGGGCAGTGGGAACCTGTCTCACCCTGCCACATGGGCTGCCTGCCACGGGATAAATGACAGGCTTGTCATCCTACCCCTCCCTCCAGAGCAGCCCCATTATCCACAGGGCTTCCCAGTGGGGCATTCCCAGTGCAGGCATTTGCAGGAAGAGCCGTGGCTGCAGTACCCAGACCTCAGGGAAGGAGCATCACAGCTCGGCAGCCTGAACTGCAGCCCCACATGGCTCCACTTGTCAGCATCCTCATTAGAGGGACACAAGGAATATGCAGAGAGATGGAATTTATCGGCAGGAGGGCAGGAAACTGTCCTTTCATCTCAGGAATCACTCAAAGTCAAACATGTCTGATCCTGAGCTGGGTAAGACACTGCTGGGAAGGAGCAGCCACTCCCGTCCTGCTGCTGCCTGCTCTCAGGAAATCCAAGATGATTGGTGTGATGGTGACATTTGGAACTGTAAGCCAGTTCAAACCTCAAAATAAGAGAAATGCAGGAGAAAACACAAGCCCCTATGCAAAAAATACCCAAATAGAATTCAGTGCCTTCAAGCACAATTATTTCTTAGGGGAAATCAGAAATTCAGACTTTTTTTCCTGGATAGAGTTTCATTTGATGAACTGCCTGTGCGACAAAAAAAACATCTAATAAAAAATTTCCCAGGCTGCTCCAATTGGCACGAGCATCTGGCAACGTCCTTGCTGTTTCCCAAGAACAAGGCAGAATTCTGACTTGCGTTTGAAGCTGATTAACATCCCAAAATACCCAGAAAGGAGGTCTTCTTTTTTTGGAAGAGTCGTATTGTTTCTGAGTCAGGCAGTGATATGCAAGTACAAGATAATGGAGCTGGGCTTTGTGATGGAAAACATGTCAAATAGCTATTTTTTTCAGAAAAAGAGACATTTTCAACCTTTCTGCCCCTGGGCAAGGCAAGCTGGGAACAATTCTGTAACAGATACAGCCCTGGCTCCCCAGAGCTGGCCTGGCTGAAGGCAGATGTGCCCCAGGGACACTGCTCAGGGACACATAGCTCAGGACTCACTTTCTTAGTCTGGCTGAAACTCTCAATACTGTTTTTAGGGGGAAAAAGGTCATTTTCAGGCTTGCCCACTGGCATCTTCCTGCCTGGCACCCCACAGGCAGTTCAGAGTCTGTGGGCCAGGAAAGGGCAGGGTGATCCTGGGAATCTTTCCACATGGTGTGGGTTGTTCAGTAGGGGAGGGGCACTGCCCTCTGCAAGTGGACACTTGTACAGGCAGGACAAGGATCCCACCTGCCTGATGGGGGCTGAGGGACACCCCATGCCAGGGACAAAGCCCTCAGTCTCAGAGCAACCCCGACATCCAAAACACCACCCTCACGGCCACTCACAATCCTGCCATGGGGACACTTGTGCAAGCCCTGTTCTTTCCAAGACACTGATCCTCTTTCCAAGACATTGATCCAGGGTATCTCCATCAGCACCAGAAAGTAGCGAACAGGATCAAAGAAGAACAGTAGGAAAGGGGATGGAAGAAGAACCCAGCAGTTTGGGGTAAGGGCCCAGGAAGCCCCACAGTGCAGCAAGGCCCAGCAGCACAGGCAGCAGTGCAGGCAGCAGAGCAGGCAGCAGTGAGGGACAGTGTGGTGGGAGGCCTGGCCTCCACTTCCCGGGCAGTAAACAAGAATCCCCCTCTCCCAGGAATGCAGCGAGGCCAGTCTGGCCCTGCAGGTGCCGGGGAAGTTCCTGCTGTTGCACAGGACAGGCAGGAAGGAGCCTCCTGCAATTGCTGCTCGTGGGGACAGCAAGGCCCAGGCTTGCACAGTCCTTTCCAGGTCATGGGGTGCACCACAAACACCATTACCAGCCTCTTGCCAGCTCAAGAGCCCAAAGCATTTCACAACCCTCGCCCTGGGCAATGGGGAGCAGCCTCCTCTCCTCCCTGTTGTGCAGGGAGTTGTGCAGGGGCAGGCAGGTCAAGGGCTCTGCCCAGGAAAAGAGGCACAGAGCTCAGATTAGAGCTGCCAATGCTCTGCCTCCAAAGACCAGATCCCTGCTCTGGCCAGCAGTTCAAGATGTCCAACCAGCCCAAGACAACCACCTGGAGACTGACTGTGCTGTCACAGGAGAATGGCTGTGGTGCAACAGGGCTTGTCCCTGCTCCGGGAAGCAGTTTTTGGTGTGAAGAGCCAGACAGAATGTGCCAGGGGTCCCAAAGCTGTTGCTCTGGAGCCCTGGTATATTATGCTTTCAAAGCCTTCTGTCCACAAGTGGCCACGGGCACCACATAACCCTTTTCTCCAGTTTCAGGTGAGAAACGACCCTCTGAGCCCAGGGTATACAGAGCAGGACACGGAGCAGGAACGAGCTGTCCCACTGCAGCCCCCAGGGTCCTGTCAGGGTAGGGGCTGTGCTCACTCCAGGGGCTGAGCCCAGGGAATGTCTCCAAGCAGCTGCAGAAGCAGCAACATGCAGCCCCGCTCCCCTAGTACCTGTACAGACCCCTCACTCACCCAGCCAGGTAGACGTGAGCATTCCCACGGCTCAGCAGCTCCCAGAGCAGCCCGCGGTTCTCCCGGATGCGGTGCTGAACATAAACCTTCTCCTCCTGCGGGTGAACAGGGCACTGAGCCCGCCAGCCCTGGCAGCAGCCACAGCTCCTGCCTCAGCACTGTTCTCAGGGGCTGCTTGCGAGGGCTCAGGACAGCACAGCCCCCCAGGGCAGGGGCACAGTTGGATCAGTGACCACCCAGAGAAGGGGAACCCCACATCTGATGTCAGTGCACTGAGACGAACTGCGGGGAAATGGGAGCAGCAGCAGCAGCTTCAGTGAGGACAAAGTAGCCCTCCCAACTCTTTGGGTGTCCACTTGCCTCCAGGACCATGAGGTGGGGAGGCCCCATGAGGATTTCCTTCCTGCCTTCTGCCCTTTTCTCCCAGCACAGGCAGAGGAGGCTCTGTGGCCTCCCTGTGTCAAATTTGTTGCAGGACAAGGACCCTTCCCCACACCCCTGGCTGCTGGAGACCTGAAACAGCTTGGAAGGGCAGAAAGCTTGGAGGGATGGCCTTGGTCCCATTCCCTGCCTCTCCACTGTGCTTAGGGACTGGCTTTTGGCACAGTACAGCCCAACCAAGGAGAGTTCCCAAAGGGTTAATCCACAAGACTTCAAGAATCCAAGCAACTGCCTACTGCCCTGGCTCCTGCCCAAGAGAACACCATTGCTAACGTGCCTGAACTCACCGCTGGCCCAGAGGGCTCCTGTGACAAAGGTGACACTGTGATGAACGCCAGGTCCTGTGCTGGGCATCCCACTACGCCAGGCTCTGCCCAGCAGTGAGCTGAGCCACAGGCACAGCCCCCTCCCCACACCCCCTCCCCATGTCCAGCCCCAAAGCCGGCACGGCTCTTGCTGTGGCTCAGGGCTCTGTGTGCTGCCGGCTGGAGGTGTGTGTGGGAACAGCCCCGAGCAGCACCAGCCCTGGCTGGCACAGGAGCCACTCACCACGTGGGCAGCAGGTCCCACAGCCCCACGGGCTGACTGCACTGGAGTGCCAGGCCGACCTGGGCACGGCTCCGCAGCTCTGACTGGTGATGCCCGTCAGGAGCACCTCAGCTCAGCCTCACATCATTAGCAGTAACGAGCTGAGCGCTGCCAGTGGCCCTGCCAGCCAGGCTGGGGCTCCCAGGGGGTCATTTAAGGACCTGCAACTGCCCAGAAACCAGAGTACTCCAGTGACAAACTGGGGTCACAGAGTCTCAGCTAAACCCCGGGGCATCCTGCTCAGAGTTAGAGGCAGCCACGTCAGGCTGGGATCAGTCTGCAGCGTGATGTGACAGCAGGTCACTGCAAAGGGCACCTTAAGAGAGCAGAGGGAAATCCTGCTCCCCTGTGGAGCATCCCAGCCCCTGCCAGGCTCTTTGACAACAAAGATTTTGATGAGTTAAGGGCTGTGGTCTCTCCTGAAGCCCAAGGTACAACGGCCCAATGCAGCTCATCCCACCTGGCTGTGCTCCCGCTCACCCCCTGGCACAACTCAGGGGCAAGAGACCGTCAGGACAAAGTGCTTTGGCCTGTGGAGCAGGAAGGACTCCCATGGGAGTCCTGTCCCTCCAGAGTCTGTGAGGGCAGGAGGTGACTCTGGCAGCTCTCCAGATTCTGGGAGCAGCAGGGCCCCCCTTCGCTGGTCATCCAGCAACCCTCTGCAGTGCTGCTCCCGTTCATCGCAGACTTGGAAAGCCTTCACAGGAGCATCCAGCTCATGCCTTACAAGTGAGTGGATAAAAGATGCTGGATTCATGTCAACACATGCACACAGCCAGGAGAAAGGGCTGGTGCAGCTGAGCTACTGAAAGATCTCCATTCCCTTTTTATCAGATCTCTGTTCCAAAGCCAGGCTGAGCTTTCAGTGCCATCAAGGGACAGGGCAAGGCAGTGAAACAGAACCCCAGCTCAGGGAGCCTCTCTGGCAGCATAAAAAGCCCTGCAGCCCTGAGGGGGGATGAGAGCTGCTCACCACAGACAGTCTAGGAAAACAGGGAGCAAAGTGAGGGGCTGGGTTGTGGGGATGCTTGTACCTGCAGGGAACTGTCTCCTGTATGGCTGAGACCTGGGGAGAGCTGGCACAGAGGCCAAGCTCCCTGGGCTCAGCCAGTGCTCAGAGGGACACAGTGACAAGGGTGCTACTTAACCAAGGAAAGTTATTGCCTGGTAACCCCCAGAGAGGCTTGGGAGCCTTTTATCACTCACGTGGTCCAGCCAAGCAAAGCTGGCTAATGCCTTATCTGCTCCAGTGCTCTCCAGCCCCGTCCCAGCAGCCTTTCCAGTCACACACGTCCCGGCAGGGCCCTGGCACTGCAGAGCTGGGGGGCCAGCACCCAGGGGCGTGGGGGAGTGAGGTGACATTGTGCCACCCCACTGAATTCCTCACAGCCCATGCCAACAGCTACAGGGGACAGACACACTGACAGAGTCTCATCAGTGCTGGCTGAGATGCTTCTGTATCCACCCTCCTCCTCTGGGAACTAACCTGGTCCCTGGAGAAGGCTGTGAAGAGTGTCAGGAAGCCCTTTGCCACCAGCTCTTCCCACTCTGCCTGGCAGTAGAAGTCCTTGGATTTCTGTCGACAGCCAAAGAAGAGGCAGTTCCCTGCAGAGGGCAGAGCACAGGGGCTGTGCTGGGAGGACTGAATGCCCTGTGAGTGCTGGGCACTGCTGGTGCCCACGGGACCTGGGGCTGAGATCAGAGGCTCCCTCCTCTCTGCTGCACCTGGCTGGCAGCCCTGGCCTGGGAGAGCCAGGAGCCACGTGAGCATGAAGTCAAGTGACCAGTGGCAACCTGTGTACTGGAAAAGCAGGAGGTGGGGGCCAGGTAGGGCAAAAAGTGTCCCCCAGGGCTGCCTGTTCCCCTCCACCAGCCTCAGGTTCCTGCTGAGACTCATGGCTGAGCCGGGGGAATGAGCATGGGACAACGGCAGAGGCACAACTCCTTGTGCAGGAGCAGATAAGCTCAGTAACCCATCTTCACTCTCAGAGAGCCAAGGAAGCCTCTGCAAAGCCCTACCCTGACCCAAGGAGCTGCCCTGTAGCACAGCCTGTGAATAACCACACAAGGCTGCACACACAGGCTCTGGTCCTCACTGCCCTGAGCCCAGCTTGCTCCCCCTCAAACACAGCGAACCCTGCACCCCTCCAAACCCTCAGGAGCCCCCAGTCCCTGACACAGACCTGTCTGCAGTGAGGGGAACCCCAAATCCCTCCCAGGACCACCCCTCACCTGTACGTCCCTGTGCCACCCGCTCCTGTATCGCTGCTCGGAACGGTGCCACCCCTGTGCCAGGGCCAATCATGATCACAGGGGTGGCAGGGTCAGCTGGGAACTTCAATCCTCCTTTCTTCACCCAAAGAGGCACCCGGACATCACCTGCAAACAAACAGACTGAACAGCATCACCCCACCAGCCCTGCCCTGGCACAGCCTGCAGAGGGTGAGCCAGGCTCTGCCAGGATGCTCCAAAGACATGAACAGCACCTGGCTCACCACCCCAAGCACCAAGGGCACGCTCTGTGTGTGTGAAAAGTGCTTCAGCCGTCTCAGCACGTCCTCTGCAAAGAGCCTGAGTGAACCCCAGAGCAGGGGAAGAGCCCCTCAGCACCCAGGCTGTGGGACAGCCTTCTCCTCACACAACCTGTGCCAGGGAGGACAGCGGTGAAGGCAGGCAGAGCCCCCAACCTGGCTGGGTGGAAGGGAGGCCACACAACTCATCTGGGTGAAGAGCTCCATGGAGGTACCCTGAGAAGCCCGTCTTGCCCTGGAGTCACACAGAGGAATTCTCTACCACTCTGCAGCTGGGAGACCCTATGAGCTTGTCACATTTGTGGGGGGACCCACTGGAGTTGGTTTGTGGTTAGAGAAGATGAGCAGCACACACAGGCTTTGCAGGACAGGGTGGATGTGCTCAAAGGAAGGACCAGCCTTTCCAGAGCTGGGGCTATGGGGCTGGAGGTGTCCAGCAGTCAGAATACTACGAGCTCCAGGACACCAGAGCAGCCCTCAGGGGGACAGCAGGGCACAGCGGACAGCAGGAGGGTCAAGCAGTTGGGAGAAAACCAGGAGCTCAAGGGAAGCAGGAGGAGCACACCATGCTCTGAAGAGGATGGGAGCAGCGAGGAAGAGCAGCTAGCTGTGAGTTCAGCTCATCCTGCCAAGCCAGTGTGCTCCAGCCCCACAGGGAGATGGTGCTCCAGCCAGGGCCCAGGCAGCTCCAGCACATGGCCAGCACACACAGCTCCACCAAGGTCCCAAGGGATCACTGCTGGGTGCTGTGACAGGCACAGAGTCCAAGCAATTACCTTGCTCTGGATTGAGAGAAGCTAGCCAGGTAGAGCAGAGCCCACGGCGGGGTTTGCTGAGCCGTGTCTTGTACTGCACCACTGCCATGAGGATCTGGATCCTGTCAGGGTGAGCCTGTGTCCAGACAGGAGCCATGAGAAATGAGGAGATACCCAGAACAACTTCACAGGAAGGGCCCAGCACCTCCTCCAGGGACAAAACCTGTGCCCAGCTCCTGCCAGGGTGCCTGCAACACTCATCCTAGCCCAAAACATCCACTTAGAATGGAGCACACCCTTGCCCAAAGCCTTTCCAATGTTTTTTCCCAGAGCAGCACTGCTGCAGGAATGCTCTGCACAGTTGTCAGCAGTGACAGTGACTGTCCAAGCCAAGAGGCCCCCATGGAGGACACATCCAGCCATGCACTGGGCCGATGTCTGCCAGCACCGGGCCGGGTCCCACTGCCACCTCCCGGCAGCACAGGGAGCAGCGCTCCTGCTCCCCACAGCCACTCGGGGCACTCCCAGCCTTCACAGCACCACATCCCCCTGCTCCTGGTGACAAGGACACCAGACCTCTGAGGAGCAGTGAGATGGCACTTATTGGGCTGCAGGAGAGCAAGTGCCCTAACCTGGAGGCTGGCACAGCCCTGAGGTTTGCACCCAGCAGGTCCGGCTGCTGTGGACTCAGCGCAGAGCAGCAGTTTGGGTGGGCTGTGGGTGTTTGGGGGCCTGGGAGTAGAGCTTGGACAACCAAGGCATGTACAGCATGAACAGCCAGCCCAGGCCCTGCCATACCCCCAGCTCAGAGCCTGACATGAGACCAAAAGGGCTGAGCTCTTACCAGCATGGAGGAGGCGATGGAGAAGGCGCGGGGTCTGATGCGGGGGATGAGGTCCAGCAGGTAATCGGCTGGAATGGCACACGTGGTATGAGGGAAGTCCCACAGGGCCTGCAAAGACAAGAGGGGTGAGGTCTGCTGCACCCCAGAAGACAATCTGCATCCCCCCAGAAGGCAGCCTGCCTGTTCTCAGCATGCCAGAGGCTGTCCCACATGGCTGTGCCACGCTGCCCTCGACCAAAGGTACCTCACCAGGCACCTCTGAGCACCAACCACCCTACTGTGTTCATTGCCTTCTGCCTCCCAGGCTGCAGCACAGAGCCCACCTCAGAGCCCAGAAGGATCTAGAGCTGGTCTTAACTGCCAGTGGAAATCCACAGGCCCTTCAGAAAGTGGGTGAAGTAGATTAAATTCCGCAGCCATGAAATGGTGTCTGATCATCTGCCTGGGTGCTTTCTGCCATGGCACAGCCCTCGTGGAGCAGGTGTGCCCTGCTGCCCAGCCTCACCTCCAGCGTGGTCCTGCGGGGCCGGTTGCAGTAGCTGTACAGCTCCTCCTGGCCCTGAGCAGAGCTGAACTCCTGCAGCTTCTCCCGCTCCAGCTCGTTGGTGGAGAAGTGGGACAGGAGCTCGAAGAAGGAGCGCCGTGGCACGCAGGAGATGTCCAGGTAGTGGGTGACCAGGTGCCGGATGGTGCAGGGCTGTGGCAAAAGGGGAGGGAGGGATGTGCCTGCAAGGCAAGGCAGCAGGGAGAGCTCAGGATCAGCCCTGGGGCTGGATGATTGGCACTGCCTGTCCCCACACAGGGCAGCCCTGTTGCCTGTGGGTGCCCACACATAGCACCAATGTGCCAGAGGAGCCAACTTCAGCTCCCACTGCTCCCACCATGGGTCTCCACTCCCTCCTGCTCTCCCGTTTGCTTTTCAAGCCCACAGAGGTTTGGCAACAGAGCAAGTCAGTGGTGTTCAGCTGTCCCTTGCTTTTGGGAAGTGCTTTGGGATAATGCCTTATCCATATGGCTCCCACCCATCCTGCACACAATGCAGTGGAAATAACCAATAGTGTCATATGTGTCAGCCTGTCCTTGTTTCCTTTGTACGTCCCAAGGGTGTCAGGAGCAGCCTGAATTTCTCTTGGGTTTGCCTGCCAGGCAAAAATTCCAGCACGGACAGACACAGGAAAAATGGAGGGTGAATAGGTGCTCAGGAGCCAGGAAAGAAAACTGTCCCAATTCCCTGGAGACTGCAGAGCCTCCAAGGGCTCTCAGTGGCCTCCAAGGGGTTTCTCTGTTTGTTGGAGCTCATTTGTGGCTGCAGAAGCACCTGCAGGAGGTCCCTGGGGTGAAAGTAGAGTGGGGAGACCTGCACTTCCCTCACAAGGAAGCACAGGTTTCCTGACCTGGGCTGGGGCTGAGGAGGCTGCAGGATCCTCTCCACCCTGTGCTGGGCAGTGCCAAGGCACAAGGCCCAGGTGGAACCTGGCACTGCTGGATCCCTCTCACAGTCATGAACCTGTGCAGGATCCACACAATCACAGCACTGGGAGAGAGGGACAGTCCCCATACTGCCAGACAGGCAGGTGTCCTGTATCCGTCTGACACTCCCAACTCCATGAACCAGGACTACAGCAAAGGAAGAGCAGAGCTGCAGGCTGGGCCAGAGCTCAGGGGCTGCCCTGTCCCAGCAGGGAGGGGAAGGAGCAGCGAGCAGGACCTACCAGGCTCCGTGGGCTTCAGCACAAAGCGCTTGTCCGGATCCAGGCGCAGGAGCTGGCAGAACTGCTGCACATCCTCGGGGCAGTTCTGGGGCTGGATCATCACCACGTCCCCTGCACTGAACCTGTGGATGCAGCAGGAGCTGCTGAGCACAGCCACGGGGCACAGCCACAGCCATGGCACTTCCACCCTTCCACCCACCAGCAACCACACCAGGGGAGGCAAATTACCAGTGTCACCAATGTACTCTCTAACTGACAGACAAGGAGAACTGGTCCTTGGGCAGCACCCCCACTGCCACACACCCCTGACTGTCATGGAGGGGGACCACGCAGCAGGGACCACGTCCCCAGGGCTGCAACCTCAGATATTAGTGGAGACAGGGAGTGGTAGAGGAGGGCAGGCTAAAGGACACCACGGGACAAAGCTTGGGGAGTCAGGAAAATGCTCACGTGATGCCCGAGCCCGCGATGTCGAACTCGATGAGCCGCACGTCCTGGAAGTGGCACTGTGCCGTGAGCCGCCGGTTGGACACCACGGGGGCAGCGAAGGGATGGAGCTCACAGGGAACAGCCCTGGGCGCTGTCGGCTGGAGAAGGTCACCCTCGGGGGGCAGGGAGTCCTCAGGCAGGTAGTGCAGGGTGTATTTTGGGGGCAGGCTGTGGGGAGGAGAGCAGTGCAGTGGTTACTCCATGCCACAGCTCCTCTGCTGCTCCAGGAAGAGGCCTAGAGTCTCCCACTGCATCCACCACCCATCATCCCTGTCCCCTGCCCATTTTTAAGGGAATGCAATGCAGACTGCTGGGAAATTCCAAAGGCTCCAGAACAGGCAGAGGGAGGCTGGCTGGGCACACACACTCTGCCAGGGGCAGAGGCACATCAGGATGGCAAGATGGGCACAACCTGGTTGAGGCAGCTGACACACACCCAAGGGGACACACCATCCAGAGAGGAATGGGCCACCAGGGCCAAAGAACAAGGAACGCTTGGGACACCAGTAGCTCTGTGGGGAGGGTTCCTGGTCAAAGCAGAGCACATCTCCACTCTGGAGAACAGCCAAGGAAGTGTGGCATCAGCCAGTCCCTGCTGGGGCCCACCCTGCCCACCCTCTGCACCCACCGTGTGTCTGGGCTGATGATCTCAAGGCCAGGAGGGAGAGGATACAAGGCGAGGATCTTGTCCCATAAGGCCACAAGCCACGGATCAACCACTGCATCCGGCCTGCAAGAGGGAAATGCAGGCTGCAGCAGAACAACATCATCCCTTAGGGCCCAAGCCCTGCTCCCCCGGCACCTGCCCAATGCTGGGGCAGCCCTGCTCCCCTTGCACAGTCACCCCAGGCTGTTCCCTTCCAGCTTCAGGTCTGGGAGGAAACGTCTCAGACTCTCTGGGGCCCAACCACTGACCCCTGAACAGAACCACAGGCCCCCTGAGCACAACCTGTGGCCGTCACCAACTCCCTGAGCCACTCAAAGCCTCTGCCCCATGCCAGGTGAGCACAGCTCAGGCTGCTGCAGGTACGGGGCTGTGTGGCACAGCTCTGAACAGGACTGGGGCTGAGCCAGGAGATGCTGGTACATCCTGGGGGTCGTGGGGCACCCCGCAGAAGCAGGTGACCCAGGTCCTGGCACAGCAGGGTTCTGAGCAGAGATCAGCACGTTCACAGCCCCGTGGTGGGAGCAGCACGCTGCTGTTCCCCAGGACAGAGCTGCAGTGCACTCAGGGGCTCCCCTCACCACACACACTCTTACCCCAGATCATGCTGGTCGTCTCCCAGGGCCACTGGCAGCAGTGGGTTGCCCCCGAGCTGTAGCAGCCGTTTGTGCAGCTTCTTTGCAACAAAATTAAACCTGAGCACAGAATAACACAGCTGTGAAGGCAGGGCTGCTCCAGCAGCACAGCCAGGCACTGCCCACACAAGCCAGCCCTTGCTGCCAGGACCAGCGGAGCAGCACAGAGGCAGCACGACAACCTGGCCTGTGCCCTGCCCAGTCTGTGCCCCAACCTGGGGCAGCTCACAGAAGCAGCTGGCTGCCACTTGCTGGGCCTCACAGGCTGTGCCCAGCTCCCAGAAGGGACTTATGGAGGTCCAGCTTCCCTTCAGGGACACAGAACACTTCCTTCACTCCAGTCCCTCACTGCCCCATGGAGCTCAGGCACACCTACCCTTCCCATTACAGCTCCTTCAGGCATGTGGGAACAATCTTTTGGGATAGAACTGGTACCAACAGGGCTGGCTGCCATCTGAGATGTCTCCCGTTGCCTCGGCCCACTGGCAAGTGGCACAGGCTGTGCTGTGGCACAGAGTTGCTTCCCTGCAGTTCAGAAGGAAAACTGAAGGGCTGCAATAAATGACTGACATCTGATGTCTGACCCACTGCACCAAATCACCTGCTTGGAGAGGCTGGGGGAGGAGAAACAGGCAGAAGCCTAATTCCTGGGATTTGGGAAGGACACAGCCTGGTAGGGCAAGGATTTTTAAGGCTGGTGGGAACTACATTTCACCTGGAGTCGGGCTCTCTCTCCCCCACCCCCCCTGTTCTCCAGCCACTGTGGTCCCTCTCGCAGCCAGAGCTGGGAGGAGCAGCCGTCCAGGAGCTGCAGAGGTGCTTACTTGGGGTAGGAGGAGTCTCCAAGGCCCAGCACGGCGTAGTCCAGCTGGCACAGGGAGCCGGGGGGCAGGTTCTTCCGGAACAGGAACCGCCAGAACACCTGCGGAGCACACAGAGCTGCTGCAGCACGGACAGCCTGCCCTGCCTGCCAGCCCCAGAGCCCTGCTCTGCCCTCCAGCAGGCCCATCCTCAACCCCAGCACAGCACAGAGCACGGCCTCCTGCAGGGGGGCCTCTGAAAGCTCCCTCACCTGCTCCCCCCTCCAAAAACAGGGGACTGGTGCCCCCCAAAAACAGCCACTGCTCAAGCTGCTCCTAGAGAGAATTCCCTGGATCAGGAACATAAAAGCAGCATGGACAGGAATACGTCCTACCTTCATGTTATCAGGTGGGTCTCCCTGGCCGGTGGTGGCACACACAAACACCACCAGTGGCTCATGGATGAGGTTGGCCTGTGGGCACAGAGGCATGTCCAGGTCAGCCTACAAACTGCTCTGGGAGAGCTGGGGGGGGTTCACCTGGAGAAGGGAAGCCTCCAGGGAGACCTGAGAGCTCCTTCCAGGGCCTAAAGGGGCTCCAGGAGAGCTGGAGAGGGACTTGGGATAACGGATGGAGGGATAGGACAAGGGAGAATGGCTTCCCACTGCCAGAGGGCAGGGATAGATGGGATATTGGGAAGGAATTGTTCCCTGTGAGGGTGGGGAGCCCCTGGCACAGGTTGCCCAGAGAAGCTGTGGCTGCCCCATCCCTGGAACTGTCCAAAGCCAGGTTAGACAGGACTTGGAGCAACCTGGGATAGTGGAAGGTGTCCTTGCCCATGGTAGGGGGTGGAATTGGATGATCTTTAAGGTCCCTCCCAGCCCAAACCCTTGTGTCATTCTATGAAACACGTGTTCTAGCTGTCCCCACATGGCTGCCCACACCACAGTGAGCTCCCAGACTGACCACACCTCGAATAAACCCCACAGCCCTGTGTGACACGAGATCCCCCACAGCCCCTGCAGCAGCCCCTGCTGCCCATCAAGTCCCTGCAGCACCAGCCCCTCTACCTGGCAGGGAATGCTGAGTGTCTGTCCTCCATCCCAGCAGTCCCTGCTCCCTCTGCCCACCCTTCCAGCTGAGTTAAGCACAAGCTGCCCCCAGGGAGGGCACAGAGCCAGGCCCTGGTGACACACAGCAGGTCACTGCAAAGGTGGAGGATGCCCAAGTGGCAGAAATGGGGCTGGTGGGGATGGAGCAGGAGCAGCAGCACCCAGAGCCCCCCGTGTGTCCCCTCTCACCAGGTCACAGCTGTCCAGGGCTTCCACCCTGCACTGCAGGTGCCGGCGCGCGGCCTCTCTCCCGACCCTCTCTGCTGTGTCCTGGGCCGTCCCCGTCTGGCTGCCAAAGAGAACGAGGAGCCTCCGTTCTGCCATCTGCAAAGACAAACCAGAGCCACCACCCGGAGGGGAAAGGGGGCTGGGACCCAGCACTGGCCTGCAGGAGCAGCAGGGACACGCTGTGCTCCTTGTCCCCACTGCCAGCACATGGAGGGACCAAAATGCACGTCCTGGATCGTTTAACTGCCCTCGTCCCCACAGGGTAAGGGCAGCCCTGGGATCGGCTGTTCCCCACTGATGGTTTCAACTGCCCTACGAATCCCCCTCACCTGAGGGGCCTGGGGAAGAGCCTGGAGCTCAGAGACAGAGAAAGGTGTGAGCAGACACACACTGCCCTCAGCCACACTGCCCAGGGGAGCAGGGCCCTGTGTGTGACAGGGAATCCTGCAGGGAATCCGGCCCAGAGGGACGTCTGAGCTGCCAGTGGCTGCTGTCCCCGTGTGCCCATAGAATGCTGACAATGAATTATATGACAATAACAAAAAACAAAATCACAGAATCACTGACTGGTCTGGGTTGGGAGGGACCTTCATGTTCATCCCGCCCCACCCCCTGCCATGGGCAGGGACACCTGTCCTGTTCCTCCACCCCTTGTCCCCAGTCCCTCTCCAGCTCTCCTGGAGCCCCTTTAGGCCCTGGAAGGGCTCTCAGGTGTCCCTGGAGGCTTCCCTTCTCCCGGTGAGCTGGCCCGGCCCGTGCCCAGGGCAGAGGGCCCGCACGGATCGGAACCCCCGGGGACCCCCCCGGCTCCTCGGACTCACCACGGGCCGGCCCATCCCTTCGTGACGTCACCGCAGCGCGACCGCTCCCCGTGACGTCACGCGGTGGATGAATGGGGCTGCCCGTGCCCGGCCCGCACTCCCGATGACGTCATCCCCGCCGCGCACCCTGTGACGCCATCGCCGCGCGCCGCCCGCGCCGGGCGGGCCGGGCCCGGTACCCGGGACAGGGGGGGTGACCCGGACAGGGCTCGGTACCCCCCGGGACAGGCCCGGTACCCCCGGACACCCCCGGACAGGGCCCGGTACCCGGGACAGGGCCCGGTGCCCCCAGATAGGGGGGGTGACCCGGACAGGGCCCGGTATCCCCGGACAGGCCCGGTACCCCCCGGGACAGGGCCGGTACCCCGGACCATGCTGTTCTCGCTGCGGGAGCTCGTGCAGTGGTTGGGCTTCGCCACGTTCGAGCTGCTGCTGCACGGGCTGGCCCTGCTCGCCTTCACGGTGCTGCTCGTGCTCAAGGTGGACGGCGCGGCCGCCGCGCTCTCCTGGTGGGTCGTGTTCGTGCCCTTCTTCGCCGCCGACGGGCTCAGCACCTACTTCACCACCATCGTGTCCGTGCGGCTGTTCCAGGACGGCGAGAAGCGCCTGGCGGTGCTGCGGCTCTTCTGGATCCTCACCATCCTCAGCCTCAAGTTCGTGTTCGAGATGCTGCTGTGCCAGAAGCTGGTGGAGCACACGCGGGAGCTCTGGTACGGGCTCATCATGTCGCCCGTCTTCATCCTGCTCCAGCTGCTCATGATCCGGGCCTGCCGAGTGAACTGAGGGTGCCCGCGGGGCCGGGCCCTCGGGCTGCTCCCGGCGTTATCCCTGAGCACCACATTCCTCCAAAATTCCCCGCCGTGCCGCGTTCCTGTTCCAGCCCCCCCGGCCCCCGTGCTGTCCTGCCCCGCGAGCGCCGCTGGGTGTGCCAGTTGTTCTACTGTAAAATAAAGATGCGTTGAAGGATTGGGGTTTATTTAAAGCTTTTTCCGTGGGAAGCAGTTGTACCTAAAACTACCGCTTCGAGGGCAGGAATTGCCTGGAGGGGGGGTGGGTGCTGTGGATCCCTTCGTACCCCCCAGACCTCTGCCCTGCCCTGCCTGAGGCCACACTGCAGCCAAGCTCACTCCTTTCCATCTGTCCCCTCACTTGCCTGAGCACTTCATCCCTTGGGTGCTCTGTCAGGGTTGTGTGGGGCCGTGCTGTGAGCCAGAGAACACTGATATGTGTGGGTTTTAGCAGATGTTTTTTGTATTTTGCTTCTATTCCCTACGTAGGGGCTGGGGAGGACAGGGCAAAGGGCAGGGGCACACACTGCTGATGCTGATTGTGAAGGGGATGTCACTGAACCTGCCTTTGCCGTGGAACACTGTGTTCTGTATTCCTTGTGGAAGTGTGGGTCACGGTGTCAAATGCCAGTGTCACAAGGAGGTCCCAGTGCCGGGGACACCCTGGCACCCCTGGTGTCCAGCTCCCACCACAAGGGTGTTGGGAACGGCTGATGAGCCCCTCATACGCAGGCCAGCGCGTGTCAGTGTGTCTCGTGTGTCAGACCTGTGTGTTCCACTGATGTTCCCTCTGACAGAACATCTCCTGGCAGCCAGGGCTGGAGGGGAAGCCTCCCTGGCCCCCCCAGTGTCCCCTCTCTCCCCTCTGCCCTGGGGTGTGTGCAGGTGGGATCAGGGGCAGGAACTGCCCTATAAACAGCTGTTGTCACTGCTCTGTCAGCTCGGAGGCCTGAGGGGCACCAGGGGTGTATTGGTGGGGCTGATCTCCCCAGGAGATCCTCTCGTGACAGCGAGGACCAGTGGCTGCTCCTCTTTCCTCTGGAAGGTGGGTGGGAACTGAGGAGGTTCCTGTCAGTGACAGAGGCTGTCCCTTGGTGCTGGCTCATCCTGGCTGTGGGACAACCAGGAGCCTGGGCCAGCAGGATCCATAAACTGACTCATGTTTAGCCCAGACTGGCCCATTCTGGGGTTAGATGCTCAGTGTGACCTGCTCCCACTCACCTCTATTCAGGTGGCACCTGGCTCCATGTCTCCAGTGACTCCAGGTGGCCCATCCTGGGCTGGCTGCAGGGCATGGGTGGGTGCAGGACAGGAGCACCCCCCTTTTGCTCAGCCCTCCCTCGGTGGAGGAAGGGGATTGCCGTGATCTGCTCTGGTCTGGGGCAGCCTCACCTCCAGTGCTGGGGGCAGTTTGGACACTGTAATATGAGAAATGTGAAGGTGTTAGAGAGTGTCCAAAGGAGGGACACAGGGATGGGAAAGGGGCCTTGAGGGGCCATACAAGGAGCAGCTGAGGTGACTTGGCTTGTTCAGCATCGAGAAGAGGAGACTGAGGGGAGACTCCTTGGGGTTTGCAGCTTCCTCACAAGATCCAGTGCAGGGGCAGCTCCGATCTCTGCTCCCTGTGAGCAGGGACAGCACCCAGGGAATGGCTGGAGCTGTGTCAGGGCAGGCTCAGGTTGGATCTCAGGGAAAGGTTCTTCCCCCAGAGGGTGGTTGGCACTGAACAGGCTCCCCAGGGCAGTGGGCACAACCCCAAGGCTGCCAGAGCTCCAGGAGGGTTTGGACAACGCTCTGAGGGCCAGGGTGGGATTGTTGGGGTGTCTGTGCAGGGCCAGGAGCTGGGCTGGATGGTCCTTGTGGGTCCCTTCCAGCTCAGGATGTTCTGTGATTCCATGACACCCTGAGGTGGCACTGGGCCCTGGGAATAAGGACCTGCCTCACAGGAGCTCCTCCTTCCCCTGTGATGTGATTTCCCAGGGCTCGGTGTCACCAAGGCCGAGCCAAAATGGCCCCAAGTGCTCAGGTCACTCCACTGGGATCTGTTTGCTCACAAGGCCATGTCCATGTCACCTGGGAGGAGGTGCCCAACTGCTCCTTGTCACCTCCACCTCACACCAGTGTGAGTTCACCCACACTCAGTGTCCCCGTGACGTGGCTGTGCCCACAATGTGCCCAGGCCATGGGTGTTCCATCCCCTGCCATCACAAGAGCTGTGTCAGAGCAGCCCCAGGGGCACTGCTGTGGGTCTGGGGAAGGGCAGGGCCGGGTGGGGGCCACGGAGGTGGGAGGGGAGCACAGCTGGGGCTGGGGGGTACAGTGTCTGCTGCCAGGGCTGAGGAACAGGAGCTGCAGCTGGTGGGGGACACAGAGAGGAGCAGGAGGAGCAGCAAAGCTCTGAGTCAGGAGGGGACACTCACTGAGTGGCCCTGGGGACCAATGGGGCCTTTGGACACTCCCGCAGCTCCCAACCACCAGCTAATTAATAAACTAAGGAAGGGGCTCATCAAAACCAAAGAAGATCAAACAGATGAACACATCCCTCAGCCTCGCTGTGACGCTGCCCAGGAACAGGGATGTTTCCCGCTGCCCAACCCCGGCAGGATCATCAGCCCCAAAGTAACACCAGCCCTGTCAGCCTGACATGGGGGCACAGTGCCACGTCCCCCCTGTGCTGCCCAGCTCCCCTGCAAGCAGCTCTTACAGCACTTTGCAGCTGCCCTGCGAAGAGCCAGCGGTTGACGTGTCCCAGCTCTGCTCCTCCAAGGTAAGGCATTACCCTGCCAGGGCATCTGGGGACACAGGAGTGGCACAATGGCACTTGGGGTGCTGCCTTGGTGGGGGTGCCAGGGCAGGGGGGGATTGCTGTCAGCCAGGACCAGCCATGCCCCTGCCAGGACTAGCGCCTGGTGTAGAGGAGTCTCCTGCAGTGCCCAGGGCCACCGAGTCCTGGAACAAACCTTCCTGGGGCCTTTGCCCTGGCAGCCAGCAGTGTGCAGCTCTGGCACACCAGCCTGTGGCCACACAACTCCTTCTGGAGCACTCCCCTTGGAGAAATCCTGCTGGATCCTCCACCTGCTGACAGGGCTTGAGTGGACAGACCCTGACACCTGTGCCACGCCCAGTGTGTGCCATGGGGGCCCTGCCATTGCCTGGCATGAGGCCAGAGGCTCCTCAGATCTCAGACCAACGCTCTTCCATGCTGGGACACGCTCTAGCAAAGATGAAAATCTCCCCTCTGGGTTTATTCTTGTGCTGAGGCGTTGCTGTTGGGTGTTGGGTGTTGCTGCCAGCTGGGCCTTTCCCAAACCCAAGAGCAAGTGTCAGTGCCTCAGCTCCCAGCCCGGAACTCTGTCCATGTGGGCACTCTGGGGGAGCAGCTCAGCTTCCCTAGGCTGGTGCTGTGGACCCCAGCCCTGAGCCCCTCCAAACCCCCGGGCCAGTGGGGAAGAAACCTCTGCACAGCCCAGCCTGGGTGCCAAAGCAGCATCCCCTGGCAGAGGGGCAGCACCAGCAGTACCACCCTGCTCTGTGTGTCCCAGTTCCTGCAAGGACAGGAGCAGCTCTTGGAGAGACAGCTGAAATACGGGATGGGAACGCTGGAAGGAGAAAAGCCAGTGCTGCCGTGTCCATGTGGCATCTCCAGAGCAGAGCCTGCCTGGGACAGCACAGATGGGCTCCATGCACTAGGAGGACAGAGGTCCAGCATGACCTGAGCATCCAGAGGGCTCCCAAAGGACGCACCTGGGAATGGGTGGCCCAAGGGACCTCCATCCCTCCCTGCATCCAGACATGGGCAGCACCTGGGGACTGTGTGACCTCCTCAGTGCAGTGGTGGCTTTAACATCCTGGTGTGGTGGGTGGCTCTGGTCAGGAGCTGGAGCTGCTTCCTGGAAGGACCCTTAGGTTGTACTTTGAGCAGTGTCCTGCCCTTCCCAAGCTCGTGGGAACAGAGGCCACCCCACACCTTGTGTCCTGTGTCCAGTTCTGGGGTTACAGCCCAGGGTGTTACAGATGGGCACAGCCTGGTGACATAAGGTACAGGGAGGTGACACGGGACATCTGCTATCCACACCCACCCCCGTGGCAGGGCAGCTGCCTCCACCACAGCCCCAGCTGCCCTTCTCCAGACCAGTTTGGAAGTTCAAAGCAGACCTCTCACATCCAGAGGTTTCATGACCTCCTGCAAATACTCTCCAGTGTCTGCTAAGGGACAGACACCTCCATCACATCATCCTTTCACCTTCTGCCTTGTTTTCCTGGGGTCCCATTGGTTGTGTTGGAGGCAATCAATCACCTCCAGAGCTGCTGCTCACCTCAGTCTCCCTCCCATGCTGTCCCCAAGCATTCACTGTGACATTAGTGGAAAGGCAAATCGTGCCCTGAGGGTGCTTCATCCTGTTTTCCCTGTGCTGGGGAGAAAAACCCTTCAGGATGTCCAGAGCCAGAGGAGAGCCCCTACCTGGGACCCTTGAGAGTCAGATCCCAGACACCGTGACCTTGGTGCTCTCACCCCCAGGCAACACAGCTGGTGAGGGAGGAGGAGCCTCAACCTCCTGGAGCACCCCTCTGCCTCCCAGCAGAGTCTGAGCCCACCACAGCAGTGCTGGGGAGCACAACCCCCCAGCAGGGAGCTGGTGCCCCTGCCCAGGCACCCTGCCCTGCAGGGCTCAGCACTGCCAGGGGCCAAATATTGGCACTGATAGCATTTTGGGGCTCTCACAAGGAGGCAGGTGCTGTGCTAAGTCCCATCTGAGCACTGTGGGGGATGGGCCTGCTCCCAGACCCGGCCCTGCAGTGTTGGATGGACTGGGGTGCCCGTGGGTGGCACAGGGGCTGACCCAGAGCACCCCCAGCTGGGAGGTGGCACCAGGACAGTCACAGTCAGGATGGGCAGACCATGTTTAATCAGGATTCACATTGGAAAAGGCAGCTGGAAGTAGGGAAGGTCTGGTGTGCTATTTGCCAGCCAGGAACAGCAGGTGTGGGCACCCAAAAGGGAGCTTTAAATGGCCCCAACTCCGCCAGTTTTGCTGGAATCAGACTGGAAGGTAGGGCTGGAGCTGGCCCCTGCTGGGACAAGTCACAGCAAGACCAAGGGTATGTCTGGAAGGGGGATGTGGGGCAGAAGCAAGTGGTGCAGCTCACTTGCAGACATGGGACGTGCACTGAGCCACTGCCTCCACCTCCCACCCACCCCCGGGAATGGGGTGACCTCATGGTGCAGAAATTGAGTGGTGGGGAAATGAGAGACTCCCTTTTGACCTGAGTCAGGGTGGTTTCCTTTCAGAAGGCACCAGGAAGATGTTAGTGATGGGGGTGATCTCATTTCACAAACACCAGTCATCCCAGTGACGGGCACTGATGGCTGGGCTCGAGCCCCACTGAGTCCCTGCACCAGCCTGGCAACTCCCTTCTGGGTCCCAGAGTCACTTCAAAGGCCACAGGCAAACAAATACATGTCAAAAGCAGATCAAACAGGGGTGTGTGTGTACTCTAGCCACCCTTCTCCACAGCAGATTTGTCTATCTGAAGTCAGAATGAGACATTTGGTCCCTTTTTCAATGTAGAGCAAATAGCACATTTCACTCTCACCAGAGCACAGCCCTGAAGGCAAACAGGGCTGGGGCTGATGGGCCCCAGGGACCCATGGGGGGGCCACGTGAGAACAGGTGCCCCTGGGGGCCAGGCAGCCCATGGCCCTTCCCAGTCCTGCAGTGCTCGGACACCACATCACCCTGAGAGTCGGTGTTTCAGCAGACACCCCTTTGGGTGGGACTATCTGAAGAAAACGGAGGGCTGGGTGTGTCACAGAGCTGGGGTGTCATCACCCTGCCAGAGGCCAGTCAGGGCAGCATCACCTGGCAGAGGTGAAGGGCTGCACGAGGGGCAAGAGGGGGAACAGCCCCTCAGCAAAACCTCTGGGACTGTTTCTTTGCTACAAGAAGGATCAGGAAAAGTCAAGTGAGGAGTTGTTCATCCCATGCTTGGACTGGGAGCTGGGGGGTTTGGTCAGCTCTGGGTGCAGTGGCAGTGGGCTGTCCTGGGTGGAGATGAGACCCCATGCTCAGAACAGCCCTGTGCAGTCAAAGGGGCTTTTCCAGAGCAGGGAAGGCAGTGGACACTCATCACTCACTTCCCTGGAATCCATGTGAATCCAAAGGTTATGTGTTGTGTGGAGATGGGAATGCAGGGGTGGTGGCATCCTCTGGGCTCCAGACATCCACACCACCAGTCCAGGAGCCACTCCAAAGGAGACTGCCATGGGGATGCTGAAATGAAGTGCCATGACCTGTAAGGACTGTATTGACACACCATCACATCACAAAATGAAAGAGTGTATGTTGATTTTGTTCTTTCAGGTAAGAGTCAACTATGCTTTTCCACTCCACTAAGGTGAGACTTATGGGAAATGTACTATGGACATACCCCTAAGTCCCAAAGTGGGGATTTCTTGAAAGGAAGTGCCATGAGAAGGTTAAAAATTCACTGAAGTGCAGGACAGGACAAACAAAAGAACTTATGAAAGATGAGAGAATAACCAAACCTGCAGGAACTGAGAGCCGTGACCTGAGAAGCACAGAGCAGGAGGACACTACAAATCAAATTACAAAGCCAAAGACCAACTTTGTATGATCTTTGTGCTCATTAGCATTGTAAAATCCCCACCCACAGGCTGTGACCACCCCTTACTCACACAGGCCCCTTCCCCACAGAACGTGAGTAGTAAAGTAAGTGTGCAAGGTATCCTTAAATGGAGATGAGAGAATGCAAAGCCAACGGCTGCAGCTTTAGGTCATGACCTACAGGGAAATGCTGGTTTCTATTGATCTGAGTGTATAAAACTGGGCACCTGACATGTTGAGGGTGTGCCAGCTTTGTGGAGTCCCCACCCAGCACCCATCTCTGCGAAGGTATGAAATAAAACCATCTCTGTGTGTGGATCAGCTTCTTGCACACAGGGTGAAAGAGCCCTGATCTGGGGCAAAAGGAAGAGGGACTGGCCTGGGGGTCTGGGACTGGCCAACAGCAGGGGCTGGCACAGCCCCCAGCCTGGGGAGGGACAGGGAGCACCCCGGGACTGCTGCAGCCCGATGTCACAGTGTGGCACTGCCAGAGCACAGAGCCAGAGCTCTGAAAGCACCGGGGAAGGTACTTGGGAAGGTCAGGCACGGTGAGGGTGAGGGCTCCCCAGCACAGCATTTTGCCCCCAGCGCTGCCCTGGGTGACTCAGCTCAGTCCAGGCAGCTGGAACTGAGTCTTTCCAGGAGATTGCCCTTGTGATGGCCCCGCCAGCCTCTTATCAGGGCTGAATCAGCAGGAAGCACCTTGGCTGTGTGGCCCAAAGAGAACTGATCTGTGCTCCCCAGCCCTGCCGCTCCCAGGGCAGGGTGCTGGGATCTGTGCTGAGCTGGGATTCCCTACCTGTGGGATACCCTACCTGTGGGATACCCTACCTGTGGGATTCCCTGCCTGTGGGATTCCCTGCCCATCTGATATCCTCCTTGTGGCATTCCCTGCCTGTGGGATTCCCTCCCCATGGAATTCCCTACCCATCTGATACCCTGCCCATGGGACACCTGGCCTGTGGGATTCCCTGCCTGCCCTGCTGAGCCTCTAAGCTGCCCAGAGCAGTGGGAGGCTCCTGGCAGAGCTGGGGACATTCCCACTCCCTCAGGTCCCCTTGGGGCCTGTAGGGACCCCCAGCCCAGGAGCAGCACAAGGCTGGGTCACTCCCAGGGAAGGGGCAACCACAGTCCCAGCTGGGCTATGAAAGTGTCATTTGGGCCTCTCCTGTGTCCCCTGGCAAAGCCCAGACAGCATTGCTGAGACCACCCTCATAGGGCCATCCTCCCCCTCTGATGTGATCTCATTCTAATAAAACTTATTATCAAGGCACCTACCAATCTACGTGAGATTCCAGGGCACTGGATACTGAAAAAATCACTCTCATCTCTTACAGACCTCGTAGAGACTCATAACAGGAAGGTTAAGGCTGGTGAAAGCAACAAAAGAACAGAAATGTGGGGGGATTGTGGAACACAGAGAGGCAGAGGGACAAGGGTTAAATGGAGAGATGTGTCCTTCATGTGATTCCATTCAAATGAGGAGGAGGAGGAGGGACTAATAGGCTGAAGATAAGGAAGATGCCAAGCTGGGTCATGAATACAACTGCAAGAGTTTTGCCTAAGGCTGATGATCTCCGGGGAAAATAAAGAGGGAAAGATCTTCCAGCAGTATCCACTTCCAAAGGATATAAAAAGCAAGTCCAAGTGGGTTTGCTGCCCTCGAAGGAGCACAGAGCCAGGGCAAGGACTCTGAGCCAGCCCTGAGTGCACAGGTGAGCTGACCTTACTTACAGCTTGTAAAATGCAACCAACCACTCCCCTCTCCCCTCCCTCTGAGGGTTTTTGCTGTTTCCTCATGCTCTCCTCTGTTCCTTGCAGTGTTCCTCTTGTTCCTCCCAGACCTGACCCTTCCCAGTAGGAGGGAGCTGAGCAGGAGTGGGTGTGGGACATGGAAGATTGTCACGATCCCATCACAGCTGTCCCAGGCTGCTGGGCAACCAATCCCTCTTTCCTTTGCTCCTCCTATTTTAACCTACTACTGCTTTTCTCAGGAAAAAATCTGACTATCCACCAGGACTTCTGAGTGGCACAGCTTGAGACAGTGTGATCTTTTGGGGTGGATCTCATTGACAGCATGTTCCCAGGTGTCTAATCACCTTTCTCCCGTGTTGGTGTTCACAGGACCTTTCCCCTGAATGATGGCTAACAAGAAGCCCTTCACCAGTGCCATCATTGGGGCACTGGTGGCACTCTCCATCATCACCCTTGTTCTCAGCCTGGTGAAGGTTGAAGATGTGACACTGCCACCCACGGTCAAGGTGAGCCCAAAAGAAGGTCCCTGAGCACCACTGGAGAGATCTGTCACCTGGGGCAGGTGCTCAGAGACAGCAGCTCATCTTCAGGGCAAGGGGGGCCACTGGGAACTGTCTTACAGTAGCAGGGTGGGTGTTCTGTTCCCACCTCAAAGTGCAGGCAGAAGAAACACAGCCTGGCCACCTCGAAGTCCAAGGGGGAAGCCTCCTCTGGAACGAGCCACTGTGCCATGCACTTGCTGTGTTTGGAGATTACCTTGGGGCAGATAGGTAGGGTGGAGCCCTGACCTGCTCCCTCTGCTCTCCCAGGGCAGGGTGATAGAGCCCCACAGGCCCTTTGCTCCTGCCAGCTCCCACCAGCCTGTCCCGACCTGCTCACACCACGGCATGAGGATCATCCCCCCTGTCACCCCCTGCAGCTTGGCATCCCACTCCAGCTGCTGGAAGAGGGTTGTCATGGGTTTAGGGTGAGGTGGAGGCTCTATGGGGGACAGGCAGGGGGCTCCTGGACTGGGCTGGTATGGCCCTGCCAGTCCCTGCCCAGGGTGGGTGCAGCCAAGGGTTGCAGAGAGCACTGGAGCTGGTGAATTGCTGGCCCCGAGGTGGGGCCAGTGTAGACACAAAAGGTATGTGACTATGAAGGAAAATGAAAAAGCATGAGGAAACAATGAAGGAAATGTTTGTGTGAGCTGGCATTGCTGCACAGACCTCGGGAGAGGGAATGACAAAGTCCCTCAGCTGCCGTGAGAAATGCCTGAGGTCACCACTCTGCTCTGACACGGTTGTGCCTCAGAGAGATGGGTTTCAGGGCATACTCTAGCCCCACCACCCTGGCAGGGCCATGGTGGGGTCAGGGGCAGGCTGCTGCTGCTCCTCCACTCTCATGATGTCTTGATTTTCCCCTCCAGTATGGGCTGGTGTTCGATGCAGGCTCATCCCACACCTCTCTGTTTGTCTACGAGTGGGATTCAGACAAGGAGAACGACACTGGTGTGGTCAGCCAGACCTTGTCCTGTGATGTCCAGGGTCAGTATCCCCCTGCCCTGGGCTCTGTGCTGCCCTGTGTGCTCGAGTGGTGGGTGGGATGACCTGGCCCTCCCTCCTGGGCAGCTCTGTCCCTTGGGCTGGCACTGCAGGCATAGTGGGGAGCCCTGGCTGCAGGCAGGGTGTCCCTGAGTCCTGGGCCTATTGGGTGGGACTGAAACACCTGGGTGGTGAATGAATTTTCATTCCTCTACCTTGGAATGTCCCCAGCTGTTGTCCTGGCTGAGAAAGGTGTCACCCATGGAGCTGGGGACACCGCTGACAGTACAGGAGATGTCAGGAATACACAGGAGAGGAGATAAATGTGGGTCAGTCAGATCTCCAGGTGACCCTGGAAAAGCACCTCTGTTGCTGAGGTGACAGACTCACTGCCCTGGGCCCTCCCTCATCACCTTCCCCAGTGCTGGGATCAGCCTGTCCCAGCCTGACTCTCTTCTAGGGCCCGGCATATCAAGCTATGCCCACGATCCCCCTAAAGCCGGAGATTCCCTACGGGAATGCCTGGATAAAGCCCTGAAGGTTGTTCCTGCTTCGAAACACAGGGATGTCCCAGCTTATCTTGGAGCAACAGCTGGCATGAGGCTGCTGAGGTACCGCTGTGGGGCACGGGGCTGACAGCAGTGACAGAGCTGCAGAAAGCCACTGCCACTGTCCTGCTTGGGCCAGGGTCCCAGATCCCACGCTGCCATGAGCAAGGGATGGGTGAATGGGGAGAAGGGGAGGAGGCAGCCCTGTGGAGACAGGGGTGTGACTGAGCTCTCCTGAGCCACTATCTGCTCAGAGGGGCCCACCTCCTGGGGTGCTGTATGCCCAGTTCCAAGCAAGAAATGCTTCTCAGAGCTCTGTTTGCTCTTTGTGATTCCTTAAGCACAAGGGAGTTGAGATGCCACCAGGGGATGTGCCACCTGCCCAGGTGGATGGGTGCTGGTGGGGGAGCAGGGCTGAGAGGCAATGAGGTGCTGCAGGACCTGTCCTTACCTTTCACCAGCCCATATTAGCTCTCTCCAAATGTCAGCCTTCATTTCATGGCTCTTGGTTTTATGGCTGCAGACATGCCACGTTATTTCTGTCCCTGGGAAGGAGCTGGGCCATAGCCTGAAGGTTCCTCGCTTCAGAGAGTGAGCACATGCCAACAGCCCCGAGATATCTTCCCCACTCAGAGGTCTGAAACCAGGCTGGAACCTTCCTGAAACATCCCCTGGAGCTCAGCTACCAGCCCTGCCTTGGGTGCAGTCAGTGGGTGACATTCAAATCTGGGTCTTGCAGCACAGCCCCCTCTGGCCCCCAGCACTGTGGTGGTACTCAGGCAGGGAAGGGTGTCCTGGGAAACCTCTGCGTGACTGGGATCAAGCTGCACTGGAGGGGTGAGGTTGCTCTTGCTCCTGGATGTGTGATGCCAAGCCTGGACAGCTGGGATTTACACCCTACGAGCAGCTTCATGCAGCAGGAAATTTCCTTTCACAAAGACTGCTTGTTGCAAGGGCTGGCAGTGTGTGGAACTGTGAGATTTCCTCTGTAAGTACTGGTTTTAGCTGGGTATGTGTCCTGACCTTTGAGTCCTTCCCAGGGAACAGAACAGTTCAGCAGCAGATCAAGTCCTGGCTGAAGTCACTAAAACCATGCAGGAGTACCCTGTGGATTTCAGGGGGGCCCGAATCCTTACGGGAGAGGAGGAGGGGGCTTATGGCTGGATCACCATCAACTACCTGCTGGACTCCTTCACTAAGGTGGGAGAAGGGCTGAACACCCACTCCTCTGCTAATAAAGCTTGTCTGATGGGTTAGAGGCTGTTGGGGATATCCCAGGGGAAGGGGGCACTTATCCTCTGGCTTGCCCCCAGTGAATGGGGGAGAACTCAGGAATGGGGGTGTCTGTTACGAGCTCAGGGCAATCTCCACACCGTGTGGATGGAGGGTCTCTTGGGGACAGCGAGGTTGGCTGCACAGCCCAGCGGGGACCGTTTGCTCCTGCTGGGCTTTGTCTCACTGCCGTGGGAAGCTCCATCTCCCTGTGGCACTGGAAGACACCAGCTTTGGTTTAGTATGCCAGTCTGAAGGCAGCTTGGACCAAAACTCTGTCCTGCCACCCTCCACCCCAGCCCTGCCACAGCTCAGTGCAGTGCTGGCACCGCTGGGCTCCTGTGTGAGCTCTCAGACACAGAAAATCCCTGCCCTTGCACCAGCCCTCTGCAGCCTGGGCCTTGGGAAGGGCAGGCCCCCAGGCCAGGTGCCCACCAGCACTTTGTTCTGGGGACAGGTGACTCAGAGCCAGGTGAGGCCACAGAATGTTGGCACATCCTGACCATCAGACAGTTCCATCTCTCTGGTAAAGGACCGGGCTGGCTGGGCAGGGAGGTGGTGGGGCCTCACACACAGAAATAACCAAATACCCACTGAATTGAGCAACAGAATCATGTTGAGTTCAATGGGATGGGAATTCTTCTGAGAGCAAGTAAGCCCAGCCCAGCACTACTCCTCTTCCTTCCCTGTCTCTCCTTGGCAGTTCTCTCCCAAAGCACACACGTGGCTTCGTCCAGAGGCAGCCAACGTTTTTGGGGCGCTGGATCTTGGAGGAGCATCCACTCAAATCAGCTTTATGCCTGAAGGTTCAGTGATGGACCAGAATGAAGCCTCCAAGTTCACCCTGTATGGGTACAACTACAACATCTACACCCACAGCTACCTCTGCTACGGGCAGAACGAGGCGCTGAAGCGGCTGGCGAAGGAATTAATTGTGGTGAGAGGGAACTGAGGGGTAATTGGCCTCTGGTCTCATGATACCAACCACAGCATTGTTAAAAATAAAATAAGACCTGGCAAGGCTCTTCCAGAGAGGTGTTAGTAAGGACTGAGAGCAAGTACAGGCTCCTCGGAGCATGGCAGGGCAAATGTGGAGAGGAGCACGGGAATTGTAGAATCACATCCCTGGAGCAGACCTTAAAGACCATTTTGTTCCACCTTCCACCAGCCCAGATTATTCCAAGTCCCATCCAACCTGGCCTTGAACGGTTCCAGGGATGAGGGAAGTCAAAAGGGCAGTTCAGGAGAGATCTGGCTGTACACAGGGTGCAAAAAAAATGTGGGACCAGGCTCTTCTCAGAGGTGCAAAGTGCCAGGAAGAGAGGCAACAGGCACAAGCTGGAACATCTGAGTTTCACACCAGGTGGAAACGTTTGCCCCAGTAAGAATGGTCAGATATCAGAATAGAACCCAAAAGTGTGTGGAGTTGCCATCCTTGGAGATACTCATATACTCTGCTCAGAACCTGATGGGACAAGGCTCTGAGTGACCTGTCCTAGCTGACCATGCTTTAAGGAGGGGGTTGGCACAGGGACCCTATAGGTCCCCCTGAAACTCAGCTACTCTGTGACTGCAAGAACCTGATAAAAGTGAACTGAAGACCTTTATTGGACTGTTTTTTGGAAGGTCAGAGGTGAAATGTGTCTTCTTGGAGCTGCACTTTGCCAGCAGAGCAGCCTTGGTGACCCAGAGGGGTTTGCTCCTGCTGTACAGCCAGGAAGATCCCAGGTGGTGCCCCCGGCTGGGACTGGAGCTAGAGCCAGAGCTAGAGACAGGGTGTAGAGGGCTTTGCATGCCCCCAAAATGATCCTGCTGGCCAGGGGAGAGACACTCTGGGACTCTGAAACAGGACTCCCTCAGTGGAAGAGGGGATGAGACAAAGCAGAGTAAGAATTAGTGCTGGGCCCAGGCTGGGACAAAGACGACCAAACAAGAGCAGGATTGAAGAGCAGGAGGATCTTTCCCTGCTGAGGAGGTGGGAGATGCCAGTGCCCATGGCCCTGGGGGATGCTGGGTGAGTCCTGGCCCCGGCCTGCCTGCCAGGAGGGTCTGGAGGAGGCTGCAGCCTGTGTTTGTTTTGCTGTCCCCAGGAGTCGGCCCCCAGCACGCTGGTCCAGCACCCCTGCTACCCAAAAGGCTACAGTGAAACGGTCCATCCATCTTCGTTCCGCACCAGCCCCTGCACCAGCCGGAGCGATGCCCGCCTGCCCCTCGGTGACAGCACGGTGACCCTGGAGGGCAGGGGCAGTGCCAGCGGGTGCCGGGCAGCCCTCCGGGAGCTGTTCAACTTCTCGGCCTGCGGCCAGAGCCGGGACTGCACCTTCGACGGCGTGTACCAGCCCCCGCTCCGGGGGCAGTTCATTGTAAGGCAGATCCGCCCTCCCGTCCCCAGGGCAGGGCATGTCCCTGAGTGCTGTGGTGTCCCCACGTGCCCCAGGGCACTGTCACCTCCCTGCAGTGAACCGGGGCAAGGAGTTCTCAAGTTAACCCTGTCCCTGGACACGCCAAAGATTGCTGCTGCCTGGTTCTTCAGCCAAATCTCCAAATTTGTGTGAACAATCACAGAGCCACAGAATGGTTTGGGTTGGAAGGGACCATCTCGTTCCATGCCCCATCCCCTTATATCTGGTTGCTCAGGGCCCTGTCCAGCCTGGCCTTGAACACTTCCAAGGTTGTGTTAATAAAATAGGTGTTCGTCAAACCCCAAGTTTTTGGTAACACCCCAGGAGTTTAGCCAGCAGCCTTCAGGCAAGGCTCTGCCTTTGCTGGCTGTCCCCTCGCTGTCTCCAGCAGGCACTGACCTCCCAGCCCATCATCTGCTGGCACAGGGACAGCACTGCCCTGGGACTACCCTGGGGGGGGGGGGCAAATCCTCTGAAGGACCTCCTGATCCAGGGGAGATGGGGCAGCTGCAGGGGCTCCCCACTGTAGCTCACCAGCATTTCTGCCTCTTCCTTTCAGGCCTTCTCCGCTTTTTACTACAACTTCAAGTTCCTGAACCTGACAGAGGGGCAGCCGCTGGCCACAGCCAAGGAGGCCATTGAGCAGCTCTGCACAAGGAGCTGGGAAGATGTAAGTAAGCTCCCCATGACAGAGGTTGGGTGGGAGCTTCACAAGCAAAGGGGTTCTGGGGTGGGGGGAGAGCAGCAGGGACCCATCCAGGGAAAGGCTTCCCAGCTCTGAGCTGTGCCCTACACAGCTGAGCCGTCCCTGAACTCTGTGTAGAGCCAGGACTGTCCTGCATCCATTCAAGGGTGTTCATGCACCCTTGGGAAAGGACAGCCAGGGCAGGCAAGGGCAGCACAGCAACTGGGATTGGAGGTGGGGATGGGGATGGAGGTGGATCTGTGGCACGGCAGGATGGTGAGAGCAGAGATAGCTGATGGCACCACTCTGCAGACAAGTCAAATCATAGAATCGCAGAATCCCAGACTGGTTTGTTTGGAAGGACCTTCAAGCTCATCTTGTTCCATTCCTCTGACATGAGCATGGACACCTTCCACCAGCCCAGGTTGCTCCAAGCCCCATCCAGCCTGGCCTTGGACACTTCCAGGGATGGGACAACCACAGCTTCTCTGGGCAACAAATGGGGATGGATAAGACCCAGAGATGTGGCACCACCATGGGGCAGAGACATGGGAGAATCTGGGGCAGGAGGAGCTCCAATATGTCTCTCTGTTTCCAAGTGGAATGTAAATCCTCCCCAAAGGATTTGTCCTGTGTAGACAGGTCCAAAATCACTGCCTGGTCCAGAAGTCTTTTTCTGGGCATTGTCTCTGCACAGAAATTGCCTGTGAACCACTTCCCTTTATCCCCAAACGTTCCCCACCCCAGCTGTCTTCCAGCTACCCTAAAGAGGATCCCAAGCGACTGCCTAAATACTGTGCCAATGCCAACTACATCCTCACGCTCCTCCTCGACGCCTACAAGTTCAACGAGACCAGCTGGAACAACATCTTCTTCCAGATGAAGGTGGGCAGCACTCCCAGCCTGTGGGGGGAGCAGAGGTGGTGCTGGGGGAGATCCAGCCCCTGTGTTTGGGGTTCAGGGGTAGCCATGGTCCAGAGAACCCTCCCTGTCCCTGCTCTGGTGTGGGGACAGCTGCTGCACCCCGTTTGGGCTGAGCAGGAGTAGGTGGCCCTGTGATATCAGTGGCATTACTGCAGGGTAACACTGTCCTCTCTGTCCCTGGGCAGGCAGGAAGTGCTGACATTGGCTGGACACTGGGGTACATGCTGAACCTCACCAACATGATCCCAGCGGAGGCTCCAGCCAGGGTGAAGGGGCACATGCCTTCTCTGTGGGCTGCAGCCATCACCTTCATCATCCTCACCCTTGTCTTGGGGCTCACTGCCCTGCTCCTGCTCCTGTGGGTGTAGAGGCCTGGCTGTGCTTCGGAGCTCAGGAGGTACGAACTGTGCTGGGGCCTCTGTGCTCCTGCCTGCAGGACTGGCACCAAACAACTGGGGTCTGGGCTCCCATGGGACCCCCAACGTGCAGACAGGCACTATGTGAGGTTTCCAGAGGAGCTCTGCTCCCGTGGACACCTGATGGGATCAGCCTACAGAAGCCTCAGCCATGCCTGTCTGCCTTCTCATGTTGCTGCCTGTTACAGATACAGCTCCATCCCACTGGAATGTGGGCCCATGAGAGCCAGCCTGGCTCTGGAAGAGCTCCCCAGTGCCAGACTGTTGGTGCACAGCTGCAGGCTCCTGGTGACGGGGTGCTCTGAGCCATTCCGGGTATGACCTCAGTCACCAACAGCCAGGCAGGTCCCTGCCAGGTGTGCCAGGGTGAGGGCATGCAGGGCTCTGCAGGACCCAGCTGGCCCTGCTGAGTGTGTGAGGGCATGCAGGGCTCTGCAGGACCCAGCTGGGACCTGCTGAGGGTCTGTTGCTTGGGCTTACGTGGAGATGGCCTTGAAGAGAAAAGGAAAACTGAGCATCCAGAGTCAGAAGCGCGGTCCCTGCCCATCCAGAGGGTCCATCTCATCTCCCCATCATGACATGTCATCTCATCCCATCTCACCATCTCATCTCATCTCATCTCATCTCATCTCATCTCATCTCATCTCATCTCATCTCATCTCATCTCATCTCATCTCATCTCATCTCATCTCATCTCATCTATCTTCGTGTCTGGGATAAAGGGATTGATGTTCCTGAGTGCCTCAGTGGAGGCAACACTGCCCCACCAGCAGCAGGCCTGGGCTCTGTGGGTGTCGGGCTGAGACTCCAGCAGGCTGTGGGTCCTGCCCAGGCTGTGCCCCTGCCTTTGGTTCTGCTTGTTTTTATCTGCCCTGTGGATGACTCATGTTGTTGTGTTCCCACAGCGAGGTGCTGACCTTTGGTGTCCCTGTGGAGTGTCAGACACCTCATAGCTCTTGTAACCCACATGAAGATCATAAAAGGCAGCACATGGGGAAAGTTTTGATTTTATTGCTTCTGTCTCCTGGGTAAGGGCAGGTGATGACAACGGGAACTCAGGGGAGAGGCAACATTGCTCTGGTCTATGGGAGACATCCCTGGAGACACTGAGGTGTCTGCCAGACCTTGGAGAGGAGCCAGCAGGGCACGAGGACAGGCCTTTTCCTTCTGGGAAGAGAGTGTCTCACCTCACCCATCACTGGCTGTCAGTGGGACTCCCCAGAAATGCAAGGGGGGCCCTGGTAGCTGCCCCTGACACGTCCCAGCAGCGTTCCCAAATCACCCCGTGCTGGAGAGGCAGGATGAGCTGTGTGCCAGGCACAGGGCACAGGGTGCAGCTGGAGCAGGGAGGAACCTCACACAGGAGAGCAGAGGGTGGTGCCATCCCCCACCTCACGAGGCTTCCCAGTCCTGGGCAGAGTCCAGGCTGGTGTCCCCACAGCCCCTCAGGATGGCACTGGCCATGGGCAGACCCTCACCCTGGGATGGGGCAGGACAGGTCTGCCCCACACAGGGTCAGTGCTGTGGGCTGTCACCAGCCCTGTGATGGCCCCCCTGCTGCCAGACCCTCCTTCTCTCCTCCCTGACCCCCATTTCCAGCCATCCCACATCACTGTGGTCCCCATGCCCCTGTGCTGAGCCCCTGCCCCACATGGCCATGCCCTCCCTCCTGGAGCTTCTCCAATCAGCAGGGCGGGGAAAGGACAACCAGAGAGCACAGAGCCACGGGGAGGATGTCTTACAGCATGTGCCAGTTCCAGCTCACCAGGCCAGGGCTCAGGGCCCCCCATGACACAGCCATGGCCCCAGGGCACACCGGGGTGATTCCCTGGGCAGCAGCTCCTTGCACAGGTGTGGCAGTGGGACTTGGTGGCCTCGGCAGCCTCCAGTGCTAGATATGCTCATAGCCTGAGGAATTCCTCTGGAGGCACATGACTGTGAGCAGGCAGAAGGTGAGGATGAGCATGATGGCCAGTAAAACTGTGACTGCTATCCAGCTGTTTCTCTGGAGCACTATTACTCCTGGAGGAGGCTCTGAGGGAATCATGTTGGTGAGATTGAGCATGTAGCCCAGAGTCCAGCCCACATCTACGTCAGCAACCTGTGCAGACAGAGCAGGAAGAGGAATGTGAAAGGCTGCAAAGTACCAGGCAAACTGGAGATCTAGAGAAGACCTCTGCTGCTGCAGCCCCAGGTCCTGCTCCACAGCCACCATATCTGTGCCCACCTTGGGCTGCAGAGGCCCTGATAGTGAGATAAACTGGGGGAGAGCTTAAGGGGCCAGGCCAGATGTCCCAGCAGGTGCCTGATGTGGCTCTGGGTATGGGCAGTGGGCTGTGCTGACCTGGTATCCCTTGTCCCCAGTCAGGCAGGGGCAGCAGCAGGGTAGGCACGAGCCCTTTCCTGGCTGGGGGCTGCACTCTCCTACCTGCCGGACAAAGTGGATGTTTAGCCATGTTTTTTGGTCGAATTTGTAGCCCTGCACGAGAAGGGTGAGGATGTAGGAGTTGACTGCGCAGGCATCACGGAGGTAGGTCCTGCTTGTCGTGGGGAACAACTTCTGCACCTGCAGAGGTGGGAAAAGAGGGGTGGGCTGCCAGCAGGGAGCAGTGCTCGGTGTGCCCACGCTGGGGAACAGCCCCTCAGTGCAGCTGGGACCAAATACCAGCAGAGCAAGGAGGACCTGGGAGGCCACAGCCTGCTCTCCCATCTCTCCCCAGGTCCAGAGACCTTTGTGCTCCTCCAGCTGTCCCCAGCAGAGAATGGACTGTGGATGAGCTTTCAGGCTGCCCAGCACCCAGAAGAAATGTGGGTAGGGGGTAGCACCTCCCGGGCATGATCTCACCTTGTCCCAGGTCCTGGTGCAGAACTGCCTGATGGTGGCATTGACCGAGGCCAGGGACTGCCCTCCCGTCAGGTTCAGCAGGAGAAAGGCGCGATAAAACCCCGAAAAGGCCTGTAGGTGTTTGAGACCAAAGGTGACAGGCTGGTGAAGCACCTGAGCCACTGACACCCCCCAGTGTCCCTCTAGAGGGGTCCCTGAAAGGCAGCTGAGTGGCTGGGAGGGAGCTGGGAATGTTCTCCACAACAACAGGGATTGTAGTTGGCACAGCAGAGCTCTGGAGCTCCCTGGCACATGGGTGAGCACGCTGCATGTCTCTAGGAGTCAGGGACATCCCAGCTCCCAGGACTGGCACTATCCAGACTTTCCTACAGAGGTTTTACTGGGGTTGTGGCCCAAAACCCAACTGCCCCCCAAAGACAGGGAGGGAGGCTCCTTACGAAGAACTGTCCCCGCACGGGGGGCTGGTACACCCCGTTGAACCCGCACGGCCTCGGGGCCCCGCAGCTGAAGTTGAAGAGTTTCTGGACGGCCGTGCTGCACCTGGCTGGGTCCCCTGTGCCCGTCACCGTCAGCACCTGGGCAGGGCTGGCTGTGCTGGGGGCACGCACACACGGACTGTCATAGAGCTCTGCCACGGTGACGTTCTCCTGGTACCCCCGGGGGTAGCAGGGGTGGGAGATCTGGGCAGTCACGTTTTCCTGCAGACAGAGGGAGACAGCAATGGGGTGGGGGGTGCCAGGGAGACCCCACCCACAGCCCAGCCCAAACAGCAGCACCTGGACCCCAGGAGGATTTGAGGAGAAGCAGGATCCGTCCAGTGCACGTCCAACCTGCCCACGGCTCTCCCTGTCCCCCCCCCACCGAGCCGTGCTGGGGTGACAATGGCACTGCCAGCTCCACGAGTGGCACCTGCTCCCCAGGGCAGTGCTGGTGCTCTGCCTGCACCCACAGCTTGGTGCTCGGGGCACTCGCTCCATCCCCACCGCGCCCTGCAGGCCCTGGCCCAGGAAGGACCAAGGATGGATCCCAACTCTGCTTCCTGAGCATCCCTGGAGCCCGGGGCACGGAGAGCTCTGGCCCAGGGCAGGCAGGAGGACACTGCACAGTGGTGGAGCAGTGTGGGGATTGTGCTGGGAATCCTCTCTCTGGGCACAAATGGAGCAAGGGGGAGAGAATATGGACAAGGAACATCTACGGATACAGCTGGGCTTGGGAAATGACAAAAAATGCTGTTACACATCAAGGTCTGGGGAGAAGGGCAGGGAACCACCCCCATTTGCCACCCAAAGGAGGGAATTTTTTGGTTCCATAGACAAAATCTCCAGCTTCCCCAGTTCCCTGACACTTCATCCACAGCATGCCCAAGGTTTCTGGGAGACGCCGTTCGTGGCAAGGGGGGAGGGCTGAGGAGATGCCGAGCCCCGAGGCTGTGGTACCTGGTGCAGAGCTGCCAGCAGCATCTTCAGGGCCTGTGTCTGCCCGTAGCACAGGTAGCTGTGGCTGTAGAGAGAGTAGTTGGTGCCGTACAGGCGGAAGAAGACCGAGGTGTTCGTGTCCTCCACGGGCACTCCGGGCTGGAAGGTGATTTGTGTCGAGGCACCTCCAAGGTCCAGAGCTCCCAGAACCTCGGTGTCCTCTGGATGTTCCCACCTCTCTGCAAAGGAAAACTGGCCCAAGAGGCAGCAAGCGTTAGTCTGAAGGCGAGGCACTCCCAGGCCCTGGGAAAACCCTCACGGCTTTTGGGGCTCAGAAGCCCCAGAGGGACCTCCCCTGCCCTGTCCCCCAGCTCACACCTTGACCAGTGTCTCCAGCAGGTAGTTGACGGTGATCCAGCCAAAGGAGCCCTCCTCTCTGCCCGTCAGGATCCGAGCTCCACGGAAATCCACAGGGTACTCCCCGATGGCCTTGGCCACCTCGGCAAAGACCCGCTCGGCCTTGCTGCTGTTCTGCTCCCTGGCAGGGAAGGCACCAACACGGCTGGGGCACGAGGCCTCCGCTGGCAGCTGTGGCAGCTGGGCTGGCAGCGACAGGCTGCTGTGCCCTGCCAGGGAGCGGGGCTGCCCACAGACACCTCATCCCCCATCACTGCCCTGTCTGTGCCGGCTCC